AACTAAGAAGGCCAAAGAGGTAACTAAGGTATTGTTACAAGAAATAGTCCCAAGGTTTGGGGTCCCAGCAACAGTATCCTCAGATAGAGAGTCACATTTCGTTGCAAAAGTCGTTCAACAAGTCAGAAATGTATTAGGGATAGATTGGCAATTAAACACTCCTTGCAGACCACATGACAGCGGCCAGTGGTCAGGTGGAAAAGATGAATCACCTCATTAAATCACAAATTGTAAAGTTGGGACCGGAGGCCAGGTTGTCATGGCCACAATCCTTACCTTTGGCTTTCCTGAGAATTAGAACGAAACCTTGAGCCAAGGAGGGATTGAGTCCCTTTGAAATTTTGTATGGAAGACCCTATATGATACAAGCTGGGACATCCATACAAATTAGGTATGAAATACTGACTGATTATGTGGTAAGCTTGCTACTTCATCTCCAGGAAACAGAAAAATTGGTCTTGGGAACACAAGCCCAAGGCCTTGACGGACTAATTCATAATATTGTTCCTGGAGATTATGTGTATGTAAGATCCTTTTCAGATTCGCCACTGGAGACGAAGTAGGAGGGTCCGTTCCAAGTGCTTCTAACATCTCACACTGCAATCAAGATCAAAGAACAGACAGCATAGATACATCACACCCGGGTGAAGAAAGCACCTAACCAGAGTCACCAACACTGGAATGCAAAACAGCAGATGCCTTTGAAGTTAAAAATCGTGAAGCAAAATGACTGAGAAACTGTCACTAATCCTAATAATCATAGGGGTTTGGGAATTTGTAGCTTGGGAGAATAATCGATGTATTTGATTAATGAGTAATATTTCCATGACTTGGAATCTTTCTGAATGCTGGATGTGTAATCACCTACTGAAAACTTTGGGGGAGGAAATCCTCTTAACTAGGATGCTACTACCATCTAATGAAATGGGGAATCCTCTTATTGTAAGTCACTGGCGGACGAATACTGCATTTTCAGGTCAAGAAGTATCAGAAATTACACTAAAGGTCTGTATCCCTGAACCACCAGAAAATGAGTTGTTTTGCTTGTGTTTTAGAAGATGTACAAAGGAAAATGATATCTGATGTTTAAATTCCATATGTGTGGGAACTCAGTCCTGGTGTAACAAAACTATAACAATAAGGAGTCAGAACCTGTCTAATATAACATCATGGCCCATACCACAAGGAAAGGGATGGTTTTGAATATGTGGTATAAAAGCTAGAAAAAAGCCTTCCCCTGGCCTGGAGAGGGCCATGTACCCTAGGAGCCGTATTACCTGATGTAAGTATTCTGGATAAAAGGTATTTCTTACGAGGATGGGTTCAGACATTTATAAGAAGAATTAAACAAAATGATAATCCATTAATTGCCCATCCAACTGCCTTCCATAGTTTTGTTAGATGACTTTTTTCTCAACTGGGGGTGAGTGACTTGGAAAAAACAGTTGTAAATATATCTGCAACTATAGAAATAATAGAAAATGGGACTATGGACATGATAAGTGTCCTTCAGGAAGAGCTCTCTTCCTTGTCCCGACTAGTCTTAAAAAATAGAATGGATTTAGATATGATATTGGCCTCAAAAGGGGGAGTCTGTACTGTCACTAACACCAGCTGCTGCGTATACGTGGACCCAAGTCAGCGTGTCCTTACAGATCTCCACAAAATTTGGGAACAGACCCAAAATCTCCATGCTATCACTCTTGATACTTCTTGGGGTTTTCATAAAATATGGGACAAACTTACTTCTTGGCTCCTGAATTTAGCTTGGTTAAAGCAACTTTTTATGTTTTTGTTAGCCTTGGGTATGTTAGTGTTAGTGATATGTGTGTTAATTTCCTGTTTCTTTTGCTGTTGTAGAATTAACTTATTTGGTTACAACAGCTTGTTCTTACAAAAACAATGGACACTGTGCATGCTGTCAGAACAACAGTAAAAAGTTCAACCCTGAGGAAGACTCAGAGCCTTCACCCTGAAGACCCTGGCCCACGACTACCAGAAAGCAATGCGCAGGCGCGAGTGGGTGGACACTTATGATAATGAGTTTCTGGAAATAATTATAATGTTCCCATCTATTCTTGTGAAATCTAATGAATATGCATGATTTTACCCCATGTAATCCTCATTGTCTGTTCCCTTGGGGTGTAAGCTTGGAGGAGCGATCCCCCTGGCACCCATAATAAACATACCTGCTTTATAACCCTCCCAGAGTTATAATGTTTGGTTTTGCACATCATAACCCACTACATCAGAAGAATCTGTTCCACAGATAAGTCTTTAGCTTGATCTGATTAAACCCCAAGATTTTCATCCTTCAGTCTTGAAGAATTTTACAGTAAAAACGAGTACTGCCCTGGTTCATCCTACGGAAAATGAATTTTCATTAATTTCATGACATAATTTCATTAACCAGGGCTAGTTAAATCCTACTAATAGACACTCCTCCTAGGTGTTTGAAGACATGGGTCTCAGTGATTGGCTGTATTTATTAACAGGCAGGGATAATTCATACTTAGAACTGTTCCGAATTTAAATGAAGTAATAACGTGAATTGCTAAAATACTGTCTGCCTTTAAAATGTTGCCATTGCTGGCTTTTGTTGCTGTTCTGGCTTCTAAATGTTGATTGAAGAATATGAATATTTATGTGTTTCACCACACTGAGCACAGGGAACCCTTCACTGGATAGTCTTCTGATGCTACTGTAATAAATAGAATTATTAATGAAGACAAATATCAGTATCCAAGCTCAGTCTTATAGCTTTTACAATGCTGCAGGAAGACTGATGTGGTCTTTCTCTAGCTCCTTTATCTGTAGCATATGCAAGCAAGTGACATCAATTTTGAAAAGCGTTTCAAAGTATTGTGTGTAGTGACCCTTAATGCCTATAATATGACTTTTTTAAAAACAGCCTCTATACTGCCATCACTTCCTTCCCCCCTTCCAGCCCCTGCCAAGTGTACAGCCTGCATCTCCGTGTGCAAATAGATATTTTGCTGTACAATTAGCCAGAGAGGGCTAAATGTGCATATAGTTTTGCATGGCTGTAGTTCACTTGACACTGTGAAACGTTGGTATCTTCCTTGCTGATTTAGCAGGACTGTTTTAGGATGCTGGCCTTCTTATAGGATGAAGTATTGACCATCCCACCATTTTAATGTATCTCTTTAGTTTTACACTGCTTGCGTTGTCGGAAGGCTGACAAAGAGATGTTTCACAAGATAAGGCCTTAAGGGGGAATAATGGGACATGAAGCTTAAAAAGAGGCAGAAAGGAAAAGATAACATAAGGATTGCTAAAATAGTACCTATACCTAGCTAATTACAATGTGAAATACCTCATCTCTCAGACAGACCCAAGGCATTGTCAAAAGGAAAAGGGTTAACAAAGGTTCCAGATTTCACAACCAGGGGCCCTGGGTCCGTGGTACAACAACCGGCTATGTGCCGGGTGGTCCCAAAAGATATCAGGAGCCTCGAGATAAAGGAATGCTAAATTTCTGCCTTCGTACCTGAAGTTAAGAGTGGCAAAATGACTGGCCCATCATTTTCCTTACTGTAGTTTCTTCTTTGTTACTATTGTATATATGACAAGGCTGAAATGTCAGAGGTGTGCTAGTTCTGCCTGGCACCCCTTTTCTGCAAAGAACTGGAATAAAAGCAAATACCTCGACTCTGTGTGGACTGGATTTTGAACACCCGGTAAAGAACCCAGTTTTGGGACAACGGCTTGGTAAGGCAAGTATCTTTCTGCTTTGTGTTCGGTTTTATCTTTCAAGTTTTGGAACCCTTTTTTTTCCCCCCTTACTTTTTGCAAGGAAGTAAGAAGTGTGACAGGAAGGTGTGATTTTTAATTTACACCAGAGTTCTCAACAAATAATGACTTTTCACACCCTGTTATTGCTGCTTACCCTGGGGGAGGAGTTGTATGGCTACTGTTGTCATATCAAATTAAATCCACTCATATAATTCAGAACGACATTTCTCTTAAACTTAACCCTTTTAAGTTGCTGAAGACTACTGGCAGAAGAGCATATACTGCAGTGCATTTATTCTGGGGGGCCTATCTACTGTTGAAGAATGAAAATGAAAATGTTTTTATTTAAGGAAGTGCATCTATTTTGGGAGTGGGTCTCTGCTGTTCTGCTGTTGAAGGGTGAAAATGAAAACGTTTTTATTCAGGGATGTTGCTTTTTTTTGTTGTTGCTTGGGTTCTTTATTTATGTATTTATTTATTTTATTTTGGTCGTGCAGCAGATTAGTTCCCAATGAAGTTAGTGTGGATGAACCTTCGTGTTAGCCTGGAATTCAAGGGACGTCCAAGGGACGTAGTTTAAGAAAGGAAAAGTTCCCGCTATCTCTGCGTGACCCGCGCCCGGCTCTCCTCCTTCCCAGGGCGCCTGTCCCGTCTTCCCGGGGAGCGCTGGAGCCGAAGGAAGGGACTGGCAAACAAAAGGGGGAGTAATCCCCTCCCCCCTATTTTCCATGAGCTTTACTGCCCCTAATTGTTGGTAATTGGGGGTTAAGTATTTGCTCAAGTACCCGCTTGGTGGTGCAGAGAGGGTTAAGGTGCTTGGTTTACTATAAACATATAAGTGACAGACCCTTATCTGATGGTGTTGGGTTTTTTCCTTTCTGTAAAATGTCAGCCATTTCCTGATGAGCGTGGTGGTGGTGAATTTCACACCTTTTTTCTTCTCTGTGTGGAAACCTGAGTGTTAATGGTACTGGTGCAGGTCGTGTTTTATAAGGAATGAGGCTGTCTCTTAGAGCAGAGAGAAAGCAGGAGAGGAGGTGGAGAAAGGGATCCAAGGAAGCTGCCACTTGCAACAGGCATTAGTTGGATTATTTTGCACTCTTTTTATTCAGAGCATGTAAATATAACTTTATTTGCTAAGTGTTTTTTTTTTCCCTATGAAATGTTGTTCAGTTTAGAGTTGAGCATAAAAATAATCCTCTCTTTTCATTTCACAGTGAAATTTAGCATTGCAGTACCTGAAGATGGAAAATTGGTCCGTTGATCAAGTCTGCAACTGGTTGAGACAAAGAAATTTAGGAGAACTAGTTCCTAAATTTCGTGGTAAGCATTTTTGTTGTTTGTGTGGGGTTTGTTTTCTGTTTCTTTTTACGTCTTTGATTAGCACTGCATACCTACCTTATTTTGGGGCAACTATATATATGCTAACTTCAGACTTTTATAGGAATTTATTAGAGTGAGAACTGACATTTTGATTTATCAGATTTAAGCATGCATATTTATTATGAAGTCTCTGAGAAATGCTGGGGGATAAGATTAAGCTGGTGTATAAATAGATGCACCTCTCATCAGAGCGGGTGGTTTAAAAGGCTTGACAGGGCCTATTTTATATTGTCTAAATCTTTTGAAATAATGCAACTATAGTGTCTAAATGTTTTATGTCTGAGTATATAAACCTGTTACAAAAGAGTGCATGAGAACCTGTTAAATGAACAGGCTATTTGTTTTGTGCCGTCTTAAAAAGCTTGCTTTCCTTCATTAACAAAGTAGTAGTCTGCTGGGGTCTAAGCGAGGCCTGATTTGAAGTATTCAAATAGTCACCTCACTGCTTCTGTGTGTTTCAGACTTGGCTCTTTGTCAGGGAGACAAATGGCTAGGACTCCTGGCACTTCTTGGAAAAAGCTAAATCGTCATCTTTTTAGCAGCTGAAGGAGACTGTCAGCAGTAGAAAGCACCTTTGCCTCTGGCCCGTTCTCCATCCTCATGTTTTTAGGCATAGAATGTTACTGTAACTGTAAAGTTCTTTTACAGTAATTCTTTAATTCCCTTAAATCTGCAGAAGAAGAAGTAAGTGGAGCAGCTCTTCTGGCTCTTAATGATCGTATGGTACAGCAGCTGGTGAAGAAAATTGGGCACCAGGCAGTGCTGATGGACCTGATTAATAAGTATCAGCAGCAACAAAAAAGTGGGATAGAATCCCATACATACAGTTGTGAAACAGCCTCTCCAAAATTTCCAGAAGCAATCAGTGGGTATGTTTGCACATGGCACAGAAAATATCAGTCTGGGTATAGCTGTATTCTTTTCATAGCATTTTAAAACTGGCACTTATTAGCTCTTCAGCAGTAAGTTGTAACTGGGTTTTGTACTTTAAATATCTCTAATATGTGAAATGTAAAATAAGATTACTCCCTTGCGGTTTTAAACAGGGCATCAACATTCCTGAAAAACATCATTAATTAATTTAAACTGCTCTTTCTTTCCAGTTCTAGAACCTGGCTTTCATTTGGATGAAGTATCATCAAACTTTGCAAACACAGGAAATTTTAGCTGTAGCCAATCTTAAGCTTTTGAAGCACTTCTAAATGTTTGTATATCCTGGAGTAAAATAATGATTTAGTCAGAGATAGTGTTTGTCACAGTTGTATTTAAATTTAGTCTCTCAAAGGAAGCTCTGAATTTGTTCTAGGTGTAAGCATTTAACCACATTATGCAGAACTAGATAGTTGGGCATTTTTTTTTTTTTAGAAAACGAATACCACAGAGATTGTCTTTACCAAGCATTTTCTGGCTCTTGCTTGAGTAAGGTTTCTTTTTTTCATTTGTTTGTGCTTTTTTGGTGGGGCAGGGCAGAGTTTGGTTGTTGGCTTGGTTTTTTTGTTTGTTTGCCCACTACATATACCCTGTGACATGTACCCCCCTTCACATCATACATCATATGTCTCATTAACTTCATTTTATGCCTTCCCTGGGAGGAGAAGTTACTATGTATGAGTTTATTAAGCATGCATACTGGTCCCCCAAAGTTAGCAAAACTGCCAATTCAAGGTGACGGTAGGTTTTTGTCCTTGTTTTCCATACAGATGCCACTCACACCCTTTTGTGAAACTGCTGCTCTACTCTGCCTGCAAGCTCTGACTTCCTTAGATACTAAGTCACACCCTCTTCTCAAGCTGCTTGTTCCATTGAGTTATATATTGCAGTTAAAATATAATTACAAAAATCCTCTCCATCTTTTATCCTATCATCTTGGCTGAGGAGAAACTTCCTGAGCTCTCAAGAGTGGTTTCTTCTCATTCCAAGAATCCTGAAAGCAGAGAATGACTTGCCATGGATGCAAAATGCTCTGTGTTGAAGGAAAGGACTCTGGCACTAAGACTGCATTGATACACAGTAGTAACCCAGCAGGAGTGTATTTGTGGTGTACTGTCTGTAGCATTTCCCTTCATCCAAAAGGAGTCCAGGTTGTGTGCTCTGAGATGATTCCACAGGGAAAACCCAAGCATGGTAAATGGCGATGACTTGGTTATTTCCAACCAAATTGCACTCACGTCCTTGTGAAAGTATTTATGAAACACCTTGGATTGCATTGGTCCTGCATTGCTGGAGGGAAGGGGTGGGCTGGGCAGGGGTGGTGCAGGAGGAAGACAATTTGCCATTTCTCAGAGACCTGATGTATACAGTCACAGCCAGACTCGTCCTGGTGGGCTTGATTTATAGAAAGCTTCCTCCTTCGGGGTAGAGCAGCTGTCAGCTGTGAGGAAGACTGCTTTACGTGGGCCCTGTACTTCATCCAAAGTGCAGCAGATACATAGCAGATACATAGATTTCAGCAGAGAATTTCAGCAAGGAACAACATGTTCTAATGTTTAGAGCCGTTTGAATGCTGCTTTGGTTAATTAGATTTTGTTCTTCATTTTCTTTGGGATATTTGGCTAGACTGTGTCTCAGGTGTTACTGTTACCCGTGTACTTCTCAAGTCCTGCAGGTCAGGCTTTACTGTTTCACAAAGAGCACACAGTTCCAATAGTGTGGGGGCACAGCTTTTCTGAGCAGTTCTGCAGACTCCAAAACAAATAAAAGGCTGGAAATCTCAAATGTCAGTGAATACAATTTAGCTTAAAATATTTCCCTGCCTGGTCTTCCTGCTAGGAAAATAAGATGCTGGTATTCTTCTGTTTACAGGGCACCTAGGTAAATAAGCAGCTGTTTCTGAAACATTCTGTATGTCAGACTCGAGGACCACAGAATAAAACTAAAGCATTTTTTAAGAAATGCATCCAGTCATGTATTTTGGGATGAATAAAAAAATCAAGATATTCAATGCAGTTTGGGGTGTAGAATGATAAAAAGCTCCTGAAGTAAAAACAGTATTTATTGTAAAACTAAAAGCCATATGCTCATATGCAGGTGGCAGTAAGTGCTATTTATTAACTCTGTAACGCTTGTCTTAGTGATGTAGTTTGAAATTACTTTATCTGTTCGGTACATCTTGAACAAAGTCTTCTAAGAATAATTTCTTTTGACCTAATTCGGGTACTTTATAACTGAAGTGTATGAGACTCTTTTAAAGTAACATAATAAAATTATTTCCTTTATAAGTTACTTTGACCCAGAGGAATAGAATATGTGGCAAACTCAAAAATTCACAGATCCACAATGCATGTGAAGTGAACTCATCTTTTTTCTCTGTTGCTCAGTGATGTTAGGCTGAATTTTAGCCCTGGTCACATGAGCAAATCACTGCCCTGAGGTTCACTGTTAGTAGCATCCACAGCTATGGCAGCAGGAGACAACTGTGAAAATTGAGTCTTCATGTCCCTAGCTCTTCTTCTGTGGTGCATGAGCCCAGGTGAACACCAACTACCTTTTCTAGTTTGCAGAATTCTCAGTCAGACTGGTTCCCAGAGCCAGCTCACTCTGCGAGCACCAGGGCTGAGTTAGAGGAGGCATTGCTCAGCCACAAGGCAGGGGAGAAAGCAGCAACATAGCCGTAGTCCAGGTCAGCTGAAACAGCTGTGGAGCTTCCACAAGCTGTCAGCAGTATTTCCCTGTTGTGTTTCTCAGTGAATGCTATCCCCAGTGCTTGTTGGTGTACTCCTGGCTGGTTATCTCTTTATCCTGGTGCCGTTAGGGCATCTTTAACTGCATGGGAATTGTGCTCTGCTCGCCTCAGTATTGGAAAGAGAAATAAAGTCACTGGTTGAACATGGGGTTCTCAGTATGGTAGATGGACACTTTCTGTATGAAAGTAATAGTCTTGTGAAGGGACACGAAATGTGACTTACCCTTCCAGCAGTTTGGATTAAGACACAGAAATAGCAACTTGCATCTGTCGATGGTAGGAAAGAGGTGTTCTTGGTCCTGCAGTAGAAACTCTCGGATGGCACCGGGTAAATCTCAAGATGCTTTCCAATTCCAAGATCAATTGTTTCATAGAGAACATACTGGGTTTTTTTCTGATTTTAACTGGACAGCTGAAAAAGATATATTGATTCATGAAAATAGGAAACTCCCCTTGTAAACTTGGCAAATGTTAATGTTACTTCCAATAACAGCCTTTCATGTGTGAGTGCAGTTGAGGCTGGAACAGTTTATGAAGCATTTTTGGAGTTTGAAGATTCTGAAGAGATGAGGTACAGAAAAGGATCTAGGCCCCCTCCACACAGCCCCCACTCCATCCCCCTCAAAGAAAAAAAAAAAAAAAGTAGTGAAAAGGTTGATGACTGTCATGAATTTTTGGCAACATAATAGTAACCCCTTATCCTAGCTCTGCCGTTCCCTCTCTGCAGGGTAAAAAGGCTGATGTTGGCTTCTACCAGCAAAAGAAGAAATAACAGGAAAATAAGGAGGGAGAGAGGTGGACACCAAGGTTAAATGGAAAGCAGTGTTTTGGACTAGCACATAGAAAGCAAAGTGGGTATCTAGAGTCTTTGGTACTAGTGACAGGCTAGAACTGGACCAAATAACAGTAATAGCAGTATGTGTGGCCAAGGTGGCATTTGAGGATCTTCTAGTGATTGGAGTAATGCAAAGATGACTTGAAGTTTCACGATGGACTTAATCTCCAGAAAAAAACAAGTGTTCACGTTTCTAGCTAAATAGAAATTGCCTTACAGTACTGCATAAATCACTCTTTCACTCTACCCCTTGCATAGTGAAATGGTTGGTTATTCCCAGAGATTAAGAGATGGCAGGCTATAAAGATGGCAGTTATTCTAACTAGAATATCACTAGGTAGTAGTATTTACAATTGCCCTTCTAACTTGTCAGAGTTTGATAATTGAAATGAGAGTTTAAGAGACATCAGCATCACATAAAATCATGACTATTCAATATGTTGGTTTTATCCTTTTCTATTTCTGTCACTGGTATTTTAGAACCCTAAAATATCTCTTTTCTATAAGCTGCACAAAAAACTGACAGCAAAAGTCTCTAAGTTTGTTTTTTTTTTTTCTTTCAGGGCTACTTACAGAAAAGTGCTAAATTCCTCTGGTCCTGTGGAGCAGAAAAAATATCTATGCTCAACTGAAAATGAAGGAGTAATTGATCACAGAGTGCTAAAGCAAAAGTAAGTTTATAATGCTTTTACTAAATTTTCCTTACCTTTTGAAAATGACATAAACACTTTTTTTAAGACTAAACAGATACTTTATAAAAAGAGATCCTAATTATTGAATGCCAGGTTCAAATGTATCCAGGTATATTTAGAAAACAGCAGGAACAGAAATTTAATATGATATGGCTGAATGAAATAGTCTAATGATGTTTTTTTCTGCCCTTCATCCTTAGTCCTTGCTCACTATCTCATATGTTACCTCGTGCAGAGGGTAAGATACAGGTTTGTCTTTGTCTATTTTTTAAAAATTCCTTTTTACAGATGTATTTTCAATAGCAATCTGGTCAATTAATCATACAGGGTGGAATATGGCTGTAAAAAAAAATAATCACATGCTTGAGGCACCTTAAATATAGCACTTGGGAAGGTAAGCATGCTGACTTCGTTTGCACGCTCATTTTCCTTGGTATCAAAATGAGTCTCGCTAAAACTGGAGGCAAGACAGATGGGTTTGGGTTTGTTTGGGGGTTTTTGTTTGGGTTCTTTTTTTTCCCTTATGCATGCTTTTCTACTTTGAGATGGGCAGTTAGTGTTGGAAGAGCATCCTGTTCCTCCTTCAAGGCAATTGTCTTGTCAAGTTTTCTCTGCTCATCATCTGTCTTTATTCCTGCCTACTGTAATTTCCTCCCTCCC